GTGCCAGTCAAGTTCGAGATGGTGAATCTTCTGACGAGGTATGGCATTCATTTCTTAAAAATAGCCCAGAAGACGATCCTATTTTTTCTCTACACATTTTCGGTAGAAATATTTCCAAACCGCTGTAACTGGATGTTTTTGACACTTGTCCAACCGCAACCTATCCCATGGGAGGACAAAGGGGCTGCGAACATCGCATTTTGTACCCTCGAAAACTTCGTAAGTGAGACCTCAAGCGCAATGAAAAACTGGGAAAAATATCAGTTCAAGCTCCATTTCGAACCACTCTAACGCGTGAAAATGGAAAGTGGAAATGGAAAACGCTTCGAAAATTATCGAAAAAATTAGGTACCCAAGGGGGAGTTAGTAAGGGTTCAATGGGAATTTCGTAAAGTACGAGGGTGAGAGAAACGAATGCGGGCATTTTTTTGAAGTTTTCCGTATAAATTACTTATTCTACCCCATTTCGTAACTTTCGTCTACCCAATCCATCGATCATTTTTTCCAGGAGAATGAAAATGTTGAAAGAATGAACAATTTCACGATTCGCTCCATTGCAACGTTCATGCGATCGCATTCTGATGTTTACGGTGGAGATTTCGGCCGTGTAAATCTACGGCGAGGAGATCTTCTACCACACAATAACGATACCGTCCGTTCGACGTCATCAGCTACTCGTCGCACAGAATCGCAGGCACCTCGCTAGTACGCGGTGTCATCTGCCTTGACCCTTTAGAGGGTGCATCACAGCCTTCTTTACGAGTATTTATGTACCTTACACATCTTTACACAGTATTTTTTGATTGTGAACTTACTTTTGTGATTTTTTTACACCACATTAATAACATTTAAGAATTTGCTATAGGTACGGTAGGAAAATTTGTGGGGTGTCTTACAAGTGAGTGGTCTTACAAGTTAGTGAGTGAAAGGATCAGAAGAACAGGAAAGTTTCGTATGAAGGAATTGAAGGAGTCGTCCAGATAGTACTTGTTCAATGGTCTGTGAGGTTTCCGTTTTCAAAAAGAAGTTACATAATGATTGCTAAAGTATCTTCCAGAGCAGATTCTGCGGGAGCTGCGCATGATGTTGCAATGATCAGCTCTTGGTGGATGCTCTGGGTGAAATCTTAGCACCCCCCAGGGATGGTCCTCTGACTGCGCTCCCGGAAGTCGGTTCCTGCTCAAACTCTCCTTCGAATCTGATCCTTCTGTGTTCTGTAAGAAAGATACGGACAGCCGCCCCGAAGGGCTAGTTCATGGGGCAGTTTTTCTGCACGATTTACATCCCCGCAAAAATGAATAGAATATAAGTTTTCTTCGTAAAAAATGACATACGTGATGCTTACGCTTGCATGAACACTAACGCTTATCGCCCTAATGTGTCGTCCA